ACACACACACACACACACACACACACGTAAAAACATTATTTTGAAATAAGTTTGAACTGGTGAAAGAAGAGGGCATAAAATGTCACTCCAAATTACACACACACACACACACACACACACCGAGTCCAAAATGGCCCTTTTTGTGCTGTTTTTTACTTTTGTGTATGTGACAGGTTTCATTATGTACTTAAGGCTTGCTGGGAACCTGAGATCCTCCTACCTTAGTGGAATTACAAGTGTGCACCAAAAATGCAAGAGTATTATCAGATGAACATTGCAAGAAGCAGTAAGTTACAATCTCTAGTCTTGACATTCTGACCCTGGCTTCCTGGTTGGCCTTGAACAAAGCTTCTTTACTTCATTGTACTTGGTTTTCTAATTAATAATAACTAGCATAATTACAGTACCCTCCAAGAACTTGCTGAGAGAACTTAATGATGACAGTAACTAAGGTACACTGTTAGTTCCCTTTAGAGTAATACTCCAAACTTCTAAGATTCAAACTTCTAAGACTATACAAACTTCTAAGATGGGCCTTCATTATGAAAACAAAGTACTCTTCACTATCTAATTCCAACCAGGACTAGACAGGGCTCTGGCCATAATCACATAACTGCTGCCAATTATGTAAATTAAGTATATTTGAAAAAAGATACCATGACTCAGCCCTGTGCTATGCTATATATTATTAATCTATTTCATTTAGTCTTAAAAGCAATGCAGTATTGCTGGGGACTAATCCTAGTTGCTAAGGAGGCTGAAATTTGGAGACTCACAATTTACAGCCAGCCAGGCAGACAAGTCCCATGGAGATACTTGTTTCCAAAAATAACCAGCAAAAAGCTGGGTTGGAGATATGGCTCAAGTGGTAGATAGCTAGTGAAGCAAGCAAGCCAATCAAACCTGCCAAACATACCCAAGTCCCTGAATTCAAACTCTGCTTTAGGAAAAAAATGGTAATAATAATAAGTGGTAGTAATAAACATAAGAAAATCCTTTTTTTTTGTCGGTCACAGGGCTTGAACTCTGGGCCTGGGCATTGTCCCTGAGCACTCTACCACTTGAGCCACAGTGCCACTTCCAGTTTTCTGGTGGTTAATTGGAGATCAGAGTCTCATGGACTTTTCTGCCCGGGCTGGCTTTGAACTGGGATCCTCAGATCTCAGCCTCCTGAGTAGCTAGGATTACAGACATGAGCCACCAAGTGCCCGCAGAAAATCCTATTAAGCAGAGGCTTAAGTTTGAGTTTGAGTGTATGGTTTAAATGTTAGAACATGCATGACATCTTGAGTTCAAATTCCAGCACTGCCAATAAGCAGAATTGCAAAAGAAATGAAAAATAAAATGTGACTAATGTAGTTTAACCTCCTCCCACTTCAAATACTTTTTTACTTAAAGTTGTCTTGAAACTGGAAGAGAGCCAAGGTTTTTGAAGTTGATGTATCTCTCAGCTCTTCTTTCACAGTTATTGTAGCCTATGTAGAGTCTAATGGAGAATAGCCAAGATGGGCAGAGCAGCATGAAAGCAGAAAGAAGCAGCAGCACACTATGAGTACGTCAGAAGAGGGATCAGGTTTTCCCCAGCAGCAAATACTGGGAAACTCAGTGTTCTTTTCCACCCATGTTTTCCCTTTGCTACAGAATGTGCTTTCAAAGAAAGCAGGTACCACAGCTACAAAATTACCATGGCAAGGGAGAAGAGGAGAATACTGAAAGACAAGAAAAGGAGAAAGCATATACTAGTGTAAAAGCTCAGGAAACCCTAGTCACTCTCTGGAAAATGAACAAAAACCTCCTTGTAGGGCTGGGAAGTTGGCTCAGTGGTGGAACACTTGCCTTGCATGCCTGAGGCCCTGGGTTCAATTCCTTAGCACCACATACGCAAAAAGAAAAAAGCCGGAAGTGGTGCTGTGGCTCAAGAGTGCTAGCCTGGAGCTGACGAGCTGAGGGACAGTGCCAGGTCTAGAGTTCAGGCCCTACGACCAGACTCCCCCCCCCCAAAAAAAGAAAAAGCTCCTTGTAGCAAAAAACGTCTCTCACAGGTGATGTAACCAAGAGAAAGCAGCAGAGAGGCCAGAAGTAAACAGCCTAACATAAGAGTGGTGGAAACTGAGTATAAGCACAGATACTCCAGGATACATACCTATACTTATCTTTGCAGAAAATCATAGGCATTATCTTTTATTTCTTATTCTCTCCACTCCACTCACTGTCCTTTTAAGCCTAGTCCCATGAGTTAAAAAGCTATGTTTTGTGAAATTGGGAGGGGGACACAAAATCTTCTAGACAATGATAGAAGTGTTCACTTTCACAAAAAGCAGGCTTTTAGTGCTTATGGGCAGAGATGGAGGAAGGATGTACAAGAACTATCCAAAACACATTCCTCAAGCAGGGATGGAGGAGGGCACAGGGATAAGGGATGAGGGATGGGAGTAAATCTCCATAGAAATGACTGTTGCTGTTGTGTCCCACAGTTAATTGTTCTTCATAGATACCTCTCTGAGGTCACCTTTAGGTAGGACATTCAGGAAACTTGGGGGAAGAGTCAGGAATTCAAGAAGCATAGGGAAAAAAAACTGGAAGTGGCACTGTGGCTCAAAGTGGTAGAAAGTTAGCCTTGAGCAAAAAGAGCTCAGGGACAGCACCCAGGCTCTAAGTTCAAGCCCCATGACCAACCAAAAGAAAAAAAAAAAAACCCATAATATATAAAACTTTAAAAAGCTGGGCAAAACCTCAAAGATCTGGTCCCATCTTCCATTTTATATCCAGGGAAACAGATTCCGGGAGGTTAAACAAGTTGCCTTACACCCAAAACAGCTGCAGGTGGCCTCAGGTCTCATGACCCCCCCCAACAGAGCCACCGGTCGGTCCCACGCTACTATCCAATCTAGAAAAGCCCCTTTGGCTCAGGAGCTCAGCTTTCAGACTAGATTATGGAGTTGGATGCAGTGGTGCCAACCTGTCACCTGATATATGTGACAAGTTGAGGCAAGAGAACCTGAGCCTGGGGGAGAGATGGAGGGTAGGAGAGGAGCTAGATTAGGTTTTCCCAGCTGAATATAAAAATCTGCATTCCTTTCTGTGACTATTGTCAAAGGAAAACCATAAAAGACTTGGAAATAAACACAAATGGATTACGGATGTCTAGTCAAATGTATACCCACATCTATTTTTCAATTATGTAAACTGCATAAAACTTACAGCAATGGAGATGTTTTTAACCTGTAGAAATAAAAATGAATGTTTTCCAAAAGAGGATTTTCCTGGTTTCATAGGACTGCATGCTCTCCCACCTTCCTCTCTTCATTATCTATCCCTCTCCCCTTAGAGCTGCCCCCCACCCCCGTCAAGTACCAGCTTGCTGATATTCATTTTGTTAGACTGTGAATTAGTTGTTTTAAGGAGTTACAGCACTTGAATTCTCCCCTGCATATTAACCATACTTTAGGTAATACATTTGTGTACATGTGCATACCACCCTGTTTATTAACAAGTTAAATTTTCATTTCAACCTTCCTCATTGCCTATAATGAGTCTGGGTTGTTTTTTTTTTGATTCTCCATGGATCCAGACTTAACACTTTACTAATTCTCTCATTAGCTGATGAATCAATATCTATGACACATAATTTTTATTTATATTCTAGTAGTCATTAATTTAATGATTGAATTAAACTTAATGAAATCACTATAATTATTCTTTAATACTGCACAGAATCACTTGTTTCTAAAGAGTGGCAAGTGTAGTCAGGTGTGCCTGTAATCCTAGCTGCTCAGGAGGCTGAGATCTGAAGATCATCGTTCAAAGCCAGCCTGGGCAGGAAAGTTTGTGAGACTCTTTATCGCCAAGAAAAAAAACAACAACAAGAAAACTGGAAGTGGCGCTGTGGCTCAAGTGGTAGAGTGCTAGCCTTGAGCTGAACAGCTGGGGGACAGTGCCCAGGCCCAGAGTTCAGGCCCCACGACCCAGGGAAAAAAAGTGGCAACTTAACCATTAAGAACAGTTGATATACTGAGGTTTTAAAATTTTAGAGCCTCACAGTCCATACAGGTCCTGTTAATAAATGTCTCTTCAAATATTTTGCCCTTTTTGTGTGTGTGTGTGTGTGTGTGTGTGTGTGTGTGTGTGTGTATGCGTGCGTGCGTGCGTGTGTGTGTGTGTGTGTGTGTGTGTGTGGTGGTCCTGGGCCTTGAGCTTGGCTGCTATCCCATAGCTATTTGTGCTCAAGGCTAGCGCTCTACTACTTGAGCCATACCTACTTCCAGCTTGTTGGTGGTCAACTGGAGTTAAGTCTCACAGACTTTACTTCTTGATCCTCAGATCTTAGCCTCCAGGGTAGCTGGAATTACAGGCGTGAGCCACCAGTGCTCTGCTTTATTTTCCCCACTTTTTTTTTTTTTTTGGGTGGCAGTTGTGGGCTGAACTCTGGGCGTGGGCATTGTCCCTCTGCTCATCAGCTCAAGTCTAGTGCTCTACCACTTGAGTCACAGTGCCACTTCTGGCCTTTTCTGCTTATGTAGTGCTGAGGAATTGAACCCAGGGCCTCATACATGCAAAAGCACTCTACCACTGAGCCATCTTCCCAGACTTATTTTCCCCACTTTTAATTGGCTTTATTATGACTACAATTTGCAAATGTTTATTCCATTATGCAAGTTTTTTCACTTTGTCAATAATGTTCCTTGATGTAAAATTTAAATTTTGATAAACTCACATCTATTTTTTCTTTTATTGCTGTTTCTTGTGTCTTGTCTATGATCTGTCAAATATAGTGCCATGAAGATTTCCCCCCAAGTTTTCTTTTAAATTTTACAGTTTATCTCTTAAGTTTACATCTTCGATTCACTTCAAGTTAATTTTTACAGTGTAAAGTCCAAGTTCAAGTAATCTTTGCATGTAAAAATCAAGTGTTCCCAGCACAGTTTGTTTTGCAAAAGACTGTTCTTTATCACTAAAGGGCCTACATCATTATTAGAAATCAATCTTGTATTTATTTTGGGGCTCTCTATTCCATTCCTTTGGTCTTTTTTTTTTTTTTTTGTCAGTTGTGGGGCTTCAACTCTGAGCTTGGACACTGTCCCTGACCTCTTCAGCTCAAGGTGAGTGCTCTACCACTTGAGCCACAGCACCACTTCTGGTTTTCTAGTGGTTTACTGGAGATAAAAATCTCATTGGCTTTCCTGCCCGGGCTGGTTTTGAACTGTGATCCTCAGAGCTCAACCTCTGGAGTAGCGAGGATTACAGGCATAAGCCACCAGTGCCCAGCTGGTCTATGTTTTAAATCATACTGTTTTAATTACTATACCTTTGTACCAAGTATTTTGTTTTTTTCTAAAGCAATACTGGAGTTTAAACTCCAGCATTTAACTTATGCTTGCTAGGCTGATGCTCTAGTACTTTAGTCAAGGCTATAGCTTTGTATTACATTTTGAAATAAAAGTTTGGCAAGGGCTGGGAATGTGGCTTAGTGGTAGAGTGCTTGCCTAGCATGCATGAAGCTCTGGGTTGGATTTCTCAGTACCACATAAGCAGAAAAAGCTGGAAGTGGCACTGTGGCTCAAGTGGTAGAGTGCTAGCCTTGAGCACAGAGAAGCTCAAAGTCAGTGCCCAGCGTGAGTTCAAGCTCCAGGACCAGCAAAAAATAAAAATAAATAAAAATAAAAAAAGTTTGGCAGTTATTCATAGCGTTAAACACAGAACTACAATATAACCCAGCAATTCCATTCCTAGGCACATAATACCAAAAGACCTGCAAGTCAGGGACGTACAGGTACTTACCTGTATATTTATGTTCACTATGCATAAACCAAAAGGGCAAACAACCACATTTGTTCTCTTTTTTATTTAGCTTTTTGCAATTATATGTTAATTTGAGATAATCTTTCCTGTTCTTTGAAAAAAAGGCTGTTGGACCTAGGCTAATGGCAAGTTTAAGGCTAATTTGTACTAAAGAGCAAGTTTAAAGCCAATCTGGGCTACCTTGTTTAAAAACAAAGCAGGTGACATTGTCCAAAAAGAAATATATTCTTTACCTGATTTATGTAACTGTAACCCCTCTGTACATCACCTTTATAATAACAATAAAAATAAATATAAATTAATAAAAAGGCTGTTGGAATTTGGAAGAAACTGTATGATCACTTTGAGTAGTAGTGACACAATGTTAAGTTTTCCTGTCCATGCATAGGGATATCTTTCCATTAAGAGCTTCTTTAATTTGTTGCTGGTAACATTTTACAGTCCTCAGCACACACATCTCTCTTTCTTGGTTAGATTTACTTCTAAGTATTTAACTTTTCTGGATGGTTTTGTAAATGGAATTGCTTTCTTAAGTTCCTTTTCATATTGCTCATTTCCTAAACTTCTTTGTGTGCACGTGCATGTGTGTGTGCGTGCGTGCGTGAGTGCGTGCGTGCGTGCGTGTGTGTGTGTGTGTGTGTGTGTGTATACCTGGACTTGAACTCACTCATACTATCACTGGCTTTCTTGCTCATGGCTAGTACTCCACACTTGGGCCATGCCTACATACTTGCATCTTGCTGGTAAATTAGAGATGGAGTCTCACAGACATTTTTGCCCAGGTTGGCTCTGAACCAAGATCCCCAGGTCTCAGCCTCCTGATTAGTTGAGATTATAGGTATGAGGCACTAGGCCTGATTTCATTTCCTTACCTTTGGTAAGATCTTATTTCCTTATCTGAAATCAGGAAAATAGTACCTATATATCAATTGTTAAAGGGATTGTGAATATAAACTATAAGGATAACATAGTGAGTACTGGGATTAGACTTAGAGCCAGTCTCTTGAGATTAGGATCTTGATTGTAACATCTACTAGATGTGAACCCTAGGCATATATTTAATCATGTGTGACTTAGTTTTCTCATTTGCAAAGTGGACCTAAAAACAATACCTTTCTCAAAACCTAACAGGTAGATCAAATGAGTAAAATATTTACTATACAGTCTGAAACAGAGTAGAAACTTTAGATGACAAGTATTCTTTCTGACCAGACTGGCACAATAGCCTCCTAATTTGCTTTCTTACTTTAGTTTTTCTATTATCAATCTAGCTTACAGCCTGGCTGTAAAGAAATCTTTCTATTCAGTGCTCTAATTAGTCACATGCTATTTGACGGGATATGTACTGAGATATGTTTGTCAGGCAACCTCACTGTTGTGCAAACATCAGAGTGGACTTACATAAACCTGAATGGTAGTCACCACTCAGTTGGTGTGGCCTTTCCGTGCAAACAAGGATTGTGATAAAATGAGGCACAGGAGGCTCCTGCTGATACATCATAATTTTGTAATACACTTTCTTACAAAGTAGGCGTATACTCTAAAGGAATGGTAAAAGGTATCATTATTATTTAAACACAGTTATGTATATTATCAAGTATTAGGCACCATATAGAATTGTATGTGCTACACTTTTCTTTTTTTGACACTAGAATCTTACCACATAGCATGGATTAGCAGCGAACTTACTGGCTCTGGCTGGCCTTGCACTCTTGATGCTTTTGCTTCAGGCTCCTGAGCACTGGCATTACAGGTGTCACTACCATGCCTGTTACTGGTAGCACAGAGGGTTTGCTTACTCTAACATCACCACAAACATGTGAGTAATGATCTGTGCTGCAACATTACAACAGCTACATTATAAGCGAACTGTTTAGCTCTCCTATAATCTTATAGGACTATCACTATATATGTGGTTTGCCTCTGACTAAGTATCATATGTTATATGGCTGGCCATACCTGTAACTTAAACATGCATGTGAGTTTCTCATCACAGATCAAGTAAATTCCTAAGTGTTTTGTTCAAGATCTGCTACAACTCAACACCAAATTACCTTTATAATTCTTATGTCCCTATCCTGGAATGCCTATTAGTCTCATGATGTGTTCACCAGATAGCAATTAAACTAACATTTGCAGGATATAACCTTGGGAAGAAATGGGGCCCTGGCTTAGTTGTTATAGAATGAAAATCAGACCCTTGGATGGCTCCACTGTTTCCATCTATTCCCCACAGTGTCATGCACAAAATAGGTAATCAACTGTAGTCTGTTGGATTAGGAGAATTTAATCCTTAAATTCTAATAACATATATGAATAAATGACAAATCACCAAAATAATCCCCTTGCCAAAAACTTACTATGTTTATGTTGCTGTTTTTGTCAAATATACATAAGTACTTTTTGTTTCCTTGGTGCTGGTACTGGGGCTTGAACTCAAGGTCTCAAACTCTCACGCAGCTCTTTTTGCTCACAGCTCTACCACTGAGTCTCCAGTCTAATACAAGCATTTTTAATCAGTGAAAATAATATATATATATATATATAAAACCATTTTATTTTGTAATGATTAAAATTTTTCTTGAAGTCGAATGGCTTAACACTGGAGTCCTGAATTATGAGGAAGAAGCTGAAGCAGGTAGACCAGTAATGTTCTTGGATTAGGGTGGAGGAGGAAAGTTACTAACACACACACACACACACACACACACACACACAGACAGACAGACAGACAGACAGACACACACACACACA